ACAATTTTGAATAAAATCATAAAGTTTATGAGTAATTTTTTAAAAATTCAATGTGAAATGCAATAAAAAAAACTTTTTTTTCCTATTTGCAAAGTTTAAACGCTCAATTTTAGATAAAAAATATATTCTTTTTTTTTTTACTTTGTTTAGAGAAAAGTTTGTATATTTTTGCTCCCAAAATTTGTTTAAAAGGCCTAGTGTTCTTTTTAAAAAAAGTTATATGGAATGTTTTGCATCTTTACCTCATAATTAATTAAACCACAACATAAATATTACCTCCTTTTAATTATTTATCTTGCCTAGCTTGGTAATTTTTCATACTTTATTCAAGTCCTTTTTCCTGAAAAGTGGAGGAGAGGATGGCCTATTTTTTCTTTCATTATCATTGCATCAAAATTATAAAATATATACTGATGTTTGTATGATTTGAGATTGAGATTGAGATGGTTATAAATGAAAAAAAGAAGAAGATAAAAGTGTATCCACCATATAATTTTATTTTTCAGGTGAATCTAGCACCCTATTCTATTTTTTATGATACTTTCAGTACCCTGATCTTTTTTTTTTTATATATTATGTATCATAATCTTATTTTTAATGCATCTAATACTCTAAAAATTAAGACATTAAATGTAACTAAAAAATAATATTGAATTATTAAATACACTACAAAATAAGATTAAAGTGTTAAATGTACTATAAAAAAATTAAAGTATTCAATATATTTAAAAAAATAAAATGAGGAGGCTAAATATATTTTTATTAAAAAAAAATTCACTTGACAAGAGAAAGACGACAACGCTCTTAAGATAGGACGAAGGGCAAACTGGGTCCCATGAGGTGATCGATTTGGAATTGGTCGCAACTCCTTTTTTGTCACATGCATTAGTTGACCGCTCGCAACTCCACATCCATTTTTGTCAATTTGTGGGATACGAGCGCACGTGCGTCCCAACATTTTTTCTTAAAATCAATGCCAGGCTAAAAATCAGTTTATATCCATCTTATCATTGATATTACGGAAGCGCGTGATTGACATAGAGTTTGCTTGGAGATGTTATATTAGATACTCCTCCGGTCCTTAATATAAGATCTAATTATCGAGTTGGTTTTAATCTTAAATATAAAACTTATTTATCATATTTATCAATTTTCATTAAATTATCTCTATGGATATTCTCTCAACCATAATCAAGTAAAAAAAGAGTATTAAGAAAGATAATTATGGTATTTTAAGAAAAACATGTCATATTTGTTATAATTAACTAACTTACCTAACTTTCTTAATCTAATCAAATTAGTTAAATAGGTCTTATATTAAGGGCCGAAAAAATATTATTTAAGTTGAGATAAAACTGGCCTCATATACTTTTGAATTGAAAAACGGACTGAATCGATCGAGTTGGATAGAAAACTAATCAAATGGTTGCTTAGCCGGTCAGGTTGATGATAAAAACTTAATAGAAAAGTCAAGCCACTTAACCCAATCAGTTTTTGGGGGGGGGGGTAGCGCACTTCTATTTTTTAAAATTTTTTTATTTCAAGTTATTTTAATCTAAAAAAATTATTTCATTATCTTTTTTTTTATTAAAGGATTGTAACTAGGAATATTTTGTTACTATAAATCTATTTTGATATTTTGTTAGGATAAATATTTAATAATTTTAGTAGTATAATATTATGATATCAATTTGTCAAGGGAATTATAGAGAAAATTAAAAAAAACACAAATATATGATTATTTTGTTAGTGATTCTACTTATTGAATGGTATGATGAGAATTTAAATTAATTTTTTATATTTTTTTATTTCTCACCAGTTTAACTTTCAGGGTGACTCTGATATAACCTACCGATCTTTTTCTTCCTACCCAAACTGATTCAAAGACCAGTCTGGTTTTTTTTTTTTTGAGACAACAACGACAAGCCGAAGCTTGGATAGAAACAACAAAGACAACAACTACAACTTAAGTAACAAAAAAGACATATACACTACAGGGCCGATAAGAGCATCCAAACTCAGACGCCTTGCTGATCTTCTATTAACATATTTCTGCATTCAGTCGGCTCATTAAGAACCAGAACCGTATCAAAAGATCCTTCATGCCCTGTTCTCGCCAAAAAATCAGCACCCCTAATAATGTCTCTTCCCGTATGGTGAACCTCAACCGACCAGTTCCCATATATCATTTCCCTCGTATCAGTGACAAGAGATCTTAATGGGTAGTCTATAACCTGGTCTCGCATCAGGAGATTATAGGCCTCCAAAGAATCTGTATAAAGCATGATCCTTTCAAAGCCCAGTTGTTGGCATGTCTGCAAGCCTGTAAAGATACCCATTAATTCAGCTTCTATAACAGAGCAGCACCCCAGATTACGTTGGAACCCCATAAGCCAGTTCCCGCCATGATCTCTGATCACTCCCCCGCACGCAGCGTGTCTGTTGCCTAGCACCGAACCATCCACATCGAGCCTAACTGCATTAATTGGTGGCGGTGTCCATTGGTTCTCAGATCCCCAGGCCGCGTTAAAAACATCATGTTGAAGCTTCTAGTTCTTCGTACTCTCCATCAGGTGGTATTTGCATCGCTGGATCAGTTCACTAGTGGTGTTCACTTTCCCTTCAAACACGTAGGTGCATCTAGATGTCCAAAGTAACCAGCATCCAAACATGAATACACGTATCCATTCCCATTTTGAGATCCTTCCAGCGGCTGGTCGATGCTTAGCATTCCAAGAGAGCCAGTCCTGCAAGTTAGAAACAAAGAAACTAGAAACAAATTTAGGATGAATTATTGATGACCAAAATTCTCTTGCTCTCTCACAATCTCTCAAAGTGTGTATAATACTCTCCTCTCTCTGACAATTAAAAGGACAATTTGCAGTATCTGAGATTCCTCTTTGGGCTCTGAAAGCATTTGTGGCTATGCTCTCATGGGTCACTTGCCATAGAAAGAATTTAACTTTCTCTGGTACCCGGCACTTCCAAAGTTTTTGCCACCAGGACTCCCTGCCAGACCGTTGTCTCATGTCAATGAAATTATAGGCTGATTTAACTGAGTATTTCCCATCTGCTGCTGGTCTCCAAATAAATACATCCGACATTCCATTTGTAGGTGGTTTTAGGCGTAGTAGGGCCTTAATAATATGAGGAGGTAGCACTCCCCGCCATCTACCCACATCCCAAGTTCCATTTTCTCGGACAAAGTCCTTGACTTTGGCTTTAGCATCCAACCTTGAATTTCTGCTTGCGTAAGTTATGAGTGGTTGATTTAGGGGGGTCTATAGGTCCCACCAAAAACTTGTGTTCTCTCCGCTGTTCAGTTTTTTCCCCACACCCTGCATGAAAATCTCCCACACCTTGAATATGGAACGCCAAGTGAGTGAAGCTATTCTTTTATAGTGAACCCTTGGGATATCATCATTTCCACACTTATATTTGGTTCTAAGCACTTGAACCCATAGCGCATTGTGTTTGGTAACCAAGCCCCAACATAACTTCATTATAAAAGCCTTGTTCTGTTGATGTAGATTTTTGAACCCAAGTCCTCCATTTGACTTCCTGTCAGTAATCTTCTCCCATGAGACCATATGCATCTTCCTTGTGTCAGCATCCTGACTCCACAAAAAGCTCCTACTAGCCTTCTCTACTTCCTCAAGAACTCCCTTTGGAATGAGAGTAGATTGCACGAGGTAGCTAGGAATGGCGTTTAGCACTGAATTAATGAGGACCGACCTCCCTGCATAGCTCAAATGCCGGCTCTTCCAAGATGACAGTCTTCTTTGCACCTTCTGGGTAATGTAGGAGAAAGTACATTTGGTGGCTCTCTTGTGAAGCAACGGCACTCCCAGATATTTCCCTAGATCCGCCGTGAGTCCAATGCCAAGAGTTTGGCTGAATTCCAATGCCCTGTTTTGATTTACATTTCGAGAGCAAAGTATCTTCGACTTATCAAGATTCACACGGTGACCCGAGGCAAGGCAAAAGCTCTCCATAACATGCTTCATTTCAATCATCTGATCCATCGAGGCTTCTGTAAACAAGATGAGGTCATCCGTAAAAAATAAATGAGAGATCCGCGGCCCTGTTTTCCTGAATCTTAAAGGCTTCCATCTCTTTTCTTCACACTCTAGCTTTATAAGCTGCCCGAGTCTCTCCATACACAGAACGAAAATATACGGACTAAGGGGGTCACCCTGTCTGAGGCCTCTTGAGGGGTTGAAATCAGCACTCTCCTCTCCATTCCATAGGACCGACATTGAGGCCGTCGTAATGCACATCATAATGATTTCCACTAAGCCTTCTGTTAATCCAATGCGGCGCAGAGTGTCTTTAATAAAGTCCCAGTCCAATCTATCATAGGCTTTTTCCATGTCCACCTTGACAGCCACTAAGCCCTTTTTCCGCTTGGTGATACGCATTGTGTGCATGGCCTCCTGGGCAATGATGATGTTGTCACAGCTGGACCGTCCTGGTATGAAGTTGCATTGTTCCTGACTTACCAGCTTATCCATCACTCTTTTAAAGCGGGTAGCAAGGAGCTTAGTCAGAATCTTGAAACTAACATTGCAGAGAGATATTGGCCTGAGATCCTTCAGGTGTATTGGATTGTCCACCTTGGGAATCAGGACTATGCGTGTTCGATTTACTGCTCTGATTCTTGCTGGTTCCCTAAAGAAAGACTTGATTAGGTCACATACCTGGTCCCCTATCAAGTTCCAATGCCTTTGAAAGAAATGTGCATTTATCCCATCCGAGCCTGGAGCCTTAAAAGCCCCCATTTCAAAAGCGGCATTTTTTATTTCGATTGAGTCCACTGGTCGTTGGAGCCAAAGTAATTCTTGCCTATCAAGCTGTGGGAAATTTGCATACCAGTCTGGAAAATATTGAAAATCCGAGTCCCTGGTGTACAAGTTCCTATAAAACTCACAAGCCATCTGCTTCATAATCTCAGGGTCTTCTACCCACTCTCCAGTCTCATTTTTCAACGCCTCAATTCTCTATTTCTTTCGTTCGAGGATGGTGGACGCATGAAAGAATCGGGTATTTCTATCCCCCCATTGTAACCATTTGCATCTCGACCTTTGGTACCATTGTATTTCTTCCTGTAGTATAATTTTCTGGTATTGCCCCCAGATTTTCTCTTCCAGCCTTCTAAGTCCCGGGTGGTCATGTAATCTTCTTTCCCTATCAATTCCTACCAATCTCTTCATCAACTCTTTTTTCTTCTTAACCAGATTTCCCACTTGCTGTTCATGCCATTTCAATGCCTCCTTATGGAACGTTTTTACACCCTCTAGCCAGGTCTTGCCATTCCAAGCTGTCGAGATAATATCCTTGAAATCATCCTCGAGCTCCCAAGCCGCTTGGTACACAAAAGTTCTTTGTCTCCTCTTACTGTTATCATTGTTATTCGAGTTTATAACCAGGATCCTGTGATCAGACTTGAAACGAGGCTCGTGTGTAACAAAAGTTCTCGGAAAACTTGCCGACCAAGCTGCATTATGAAAAACCCAGTCTAGTCGTTCTTTCAGGCCGGTTCTTTCCCAAGTGAATTTGTCCCCTCTTGTCTCACACTTTACTAAACCGCAATCTGCAATGCACTCCCGAAACGGTGTCATGACTGCTTCATTTGGCCTGCTTCCTCCCTCCTTGTCCCCTGGCGACATGTAAGCATTGAAATCCCCACAGACCAGCCAAGGTTCTGTAACCGTGCCAGCAATCAATCTCAGGGAGTCCCAAAGCATCATTCTTCCAGTGGTGTTCGTCTCCCCGTAAACAAAAGTGATGAGTTCCCCATTAGGATTGCTTCTGTTACTTACTTTACAGTGGATGAATTGCGCCGAGGAGCATATATAAGTAACAGAGAACTCCGTGTTGTTCCACAAAAGCCAGATCCCTCCTGAATATCCGCTGGCTTCTACTCTTATCCAGTGGGAAAAACCCAACCTCTTCACCACACTATCCGCTCTCTTACCACTAACACGTGGTTCCTCAAGGCAGAGAATATCTACTTGAAATTTTTTAACAATATCTCTTATCAAAATAGGGAAGCTTCGGCTACCAGCTCCCCTGCAATTCCAAGAAGCAATAATCATAAAAAAGGAAAAGGAAGGAAAAGGGCGAGAGCAAGCACCTAGCTGCAGTGTTCGCTCCTCCTTTGGCTCCTTTGCACCTCCTTCGCCACATCCGAGCTCTCCTCTATCATCCCCCCCTCTAGTCTTGCCGAGTTCTCGACCAATGGGTCTGGTGGCTTCGGGTTCAAGTTCTCCATGTCAATACACTCTAGCATACTGCCTTGTGTAGAGCCTGTTCCATCCTGTCCCTGTTGCTCGACATTAATGTTCATAACGAGAGCAAGTGCTTGGGACGGTATGTGAAGTTCTTCCGTGTTGCACCTATCCATTTTACTCAATTGGGCTTCGTCAATTTTTGATTCTGCCTGTTCCACATTGCCCATTACCACCCTATGAGTCCGTTGGCTCTTCTGCTTTATTTGTTTTGTCTGGCCCATTTGTGAAGCTACCTCAGTTGCTTTGTTCCTTATATTTTTATCCGGCCCAAGTCCTAAGTTCGGCCCATTCGAAGGCGGCTGGTTCTCCTTTCCCAGGTCCTTAGTAGGTACCCTTGAACTATGAGCATTTTTCCGCCCTTGTTCATTCCTAACTCGACGTGGTTGCTCTTTGACCCCCTCTAGAGCCCTCTTCTTCTGATAAAGGACAATGGCCTTTCCTTCTGCATCCTGACTTGCAGTTTCCTTGTTCGTATCTTGGGGTAAGGTTGCTTCCATCTGTTCTGTGTCTTCCCAGTCTTCAAAGATTGAGAATCTCGATTTCTGCACATACATTTTCTCTGTTCGCTTATCCTTCGGCTGACCAGCTGTAGTACGCAGCCCAGTCTTCTGCTCTCCATACTTCGGGAACTGAGCCCTTGAGGATTTGCCAGCAAGCATCCACACCCCAAACGTCTCATCAATGTCAGCCTTGTTCTTTTCCGGCATTCTCGACGGTGCAACTACGATCGGCGGTGACGTTGAAGCACTTGGCTCTTGCGTGTTCATACTAACCTTCCAGGGACATGCTTCTCGCCTATGGCCAAACCTGCCGCAAGCAAAGCAGATTACACCTAGCCCTTCGTACTCTACATTGAAGATTTCCCCAGCAACAATGACTCTGGGTACCAATTTCTTTTGCAAGTCAAGCTCCACGCAAATTCTTGCATACTTGCCTCTCTCGACCTTCGTCTGATTTGTGTACAGGCCATTGCTAAGAGTATTAATATCCACCTTCAGAGTTCGGCCAATTCGGTCACCTATTCTGGTAATACAGTGACTGTTATAATAATGCATGGGTATATCAGGGATCCGCACCCATGTAGCAACCCGCCGCAGAGGATTCTGATGAGGGTTGAAGTATGGCGACCATCTCTGCACCAGGACACAGTGTTGTTTTACCACCCATGGCCCATCGTATAAGACTTTTCGGTAATGAGCTTTCCATTGATCAAATTCGCTGAAGCGAACAAGGAAATAATTGTTTGGGAGGTCGATTAAATCGAAATCCGAGAAACCTCACAAATTTCGCAGGTAATCTTTCAACGCATACACATTAAACCTTCTGCCTAGCACTGTTAACACCAGAGTATAGTTCCAGGGCTGGCACCACTCATTAAATTCTTCCTCACTTACCGGGACCACAGGGTATATTTCCATTTGGTTTTTGAGTTCCTCAGATACTTCCGGTAGTTTCCAATGTAACTCGCTCTCAGCATTGAATAAGTCATCCTCCTCCATCGGGCTCGCGCCGTGCGCCACGCCGTTGAAACCCATCAGGGAGGCTTTGTATGAGACGAAACCCCCTTCCATGTTCTTTTTCGTTTCCGCCGAGTATTGCTCTGCCTCACCTTGTTCTTCCATCCGGTCATCCATAATTGCTTGCGGAGGTTCTTCAATCTTTTTCTTCTTGTTTTTCCCAGAGGTGTCTTCAGCTGGCTTACGATCTGGTGGCATTTTCCGTTGCCCCGTATCGGCCATGGAGTTCGCAGAAGAAAGTTGCAGCGCGTTTCCCAAGAGAGAGAAAACCCCAAACACTTTCAGAGCTTAAGACCAGTCTGGTTTTCAAAACCTTGATCACAACTGAAATTAAAATGTATTTATATATTCTTTTTTCTTTTTATAGACTATTTATAGAGTATATTCCTTTTGACTTTTATTGGATAGGTTAATGCTGGACATGTCTCCGCATTACATGGGCAACATCTGTTTTCATATTTGCTGTTGTTTCACGTTTTTGGGCCACAAATAGCGAGGACAATCCTAGCATCTTGTGCTTGTGGACTTTTGTAACACTGTACTACTGTCTTTTTGTGTCTGGGCTTTAAGGGAGTAAAAGGTCGTATAGCTTAGCGAACAAATTGTGAAGAGAAGAAAATTAAGGACTTATTTAGTTTTTTGTTTTGAAAATAATTTTTTGTTTTTTAAATAAAAAGGAATTGTTTGATAATTTATTTTTAATGGTTGTTTTTAAAAAAACAGTACTACGTTTTTAAAAACTAAAAAAAATCACAACAATTTTTAGATTTTTTTTGTATTTTGTACTTTTTATTTTGAAAATTTAGAAAAATATTCTTCTCTTCTCACCCACTGCTGGTTATGTATCAATGCTAGTGATGACCACTACTTGTCAAATGTTTTTTTTTATATTTTTTGTTTTAAATGTGATTTTATAAAATAATTATCCACACTTTTTTTTATTCTCAAAATTTGTTTAAAAAATAATTTTATAAAATTGTTTTAAGAATAAGAAAATGAGAAACATAAACAAACAAGCTTAAACCTCCGGTTCTTATAGTTATAATGAGTTCTTACACCAACGTTTTTTTTAATTAATGCACTGCTTTTAGTTTAAGCCATTAGTGACATTGATCGCTATCGTTAGACTATGACAGAAGGACATTGACGGAGCAAATGATGTGAACATCACTGAGGCGCTTTGTATTCGAATGATTGGGTGGAAGCTGTGACATGCCATTCTCATTGTCACGCTCCTCTCGCGTCGCCATCTTTTCCCATCTCCCTTGCCCTGCTCCGTGCTAGCCACCTCTTGGGTAGAGCGATTGTACCACCCCGCTTGGATTTATTGAGTACTTGTTACTGCCTCCAGGTCTAATAATAAAATTTTATTTATAAACTATAAATAAGATCTTATAATTAGAATCGAAGATAGTATTACTGTTGGCAATAAGTCTCTAGTTATGAATTTTATTTTTACATGAAAATTCCTGCTCCTCTGGCCTGGATTAAGTCTCAGGTTCTCATGATTTCTTAAAATTGTACTTTTTAGTGTTTCCATTTACCTTTTCCTCCCCTCTTTCATTTGTATGAATTTCAATTTTTTTTTTAGGAAAAAAAATTACATTCCTTTAAAGAATGATCATATATCAAGCTTAATTATTGTGAAGACAGATAAAATGTGCTCGTAGAACCGGACTACTGTGTGGATTGAAAAACCAATTTGTTTCCATTTGTTAAGTATAATTAAAATGCTGCATTTAAACTTTAAGTACAAAGGCCACATCAAATGTTAAGATTCCCAAGTTAGGCCTCTGCGTCCTGACACTTACATTTGGTGGGAGAGAAACGGAGGAGATGACAGGGGAGGGAAAAATTTAAGGGAGAATGCCAATTAAATCAAATCGAAATATCTAAATTTAAATTTAGACCTATATTTTTAATAAATTTCTAATTAATCTATAAGGCCTCATTAAGAATTTCTGAATATCATTAAACAACCAGATTGCCTCTCTTTAATTAAAAAGAACAATTGACTATTTTACCCTCCCAAATAGTCCTAATCTCTTGTGATTATTTTTTGAGACAAAAATATATAAGTAATTTTACGGTATTTAAAATTTGTATATATGACTAAACCATTAAAAATATTTTAACAAACATGTTAAATTACAAATATAAGCAGTCTTTACATAAATATTTTTTATTTTCAGTTCTTATAATTTACATTAGTTTTATTTATTTAAGCAATGTTGGTTCCAACCAAAAACATAAATTATAACAGCTAAATATTAAAATTTTTTGCAATTAAAATCTTTTAAAATCTTAAAATAAATATTTACAACCTAAAAAAATATTTATTTAAAGACTACTTATATTTAATTTAATTTTTTTAAAATATTTTAAAAGTTTTAATTATATATACAAAATTTCAAACACTAAAAAATTATTTATATATATATTTTGTCTAAATATTAGTAATAAGATATGATGATCTATGAAATTTTCTTGGAAAAACATTCCAATTCCCCAACAGCAAGATTGAATATGAAATAATAGTTGTTGTCGCTGTTGTCGTTGTTGTGTTGGTCGATTTGAACCTTCAAAGGGAGGAGTTGAAAGAAGCCGAAAAATCCGAAGGAAAAGAGATTGATAAAGTATGATTTGTTATGAAGTTTAAATAATAATAAAATTTAAAGGAAAAAATAACCATTTTTGGAGGCCAAATTCTTAAAAAAGAAAAATAGGTGAATGATATATTTTCATTTAAAAAAATTAAAATGTATTTAATATTTTGAAATATTTTTTGAGCTGAATCCTGCACCTTGGTACTCCTTCAATCCTAAATATAAGACCCTTATACACACTAGTATAAGGGTCTATTTAGAACCGGAGGAGTACATTTTAAACGGAACAATCTCACCCTTGGTTAACAGCTCCACAAACGTCCGTTATCTCTCTTCCGAAAAAGCTTCAACAACAAAAGTCCCCTTCCCTGTTCTCCCTCCATAGCCAGCAGAACCGATTGACCGTTAATGTCGCCATCATCAGAGCTAGTGTCTTCAGCCTCGTCGCAGATCAGGAGCTTCAACGAGAAAGGTCATCGAGTCTTCGTCTTTCAGAAAAACCACCACATAAGAGGCAGTTGGGTCAGTCTAAGAACTGTGATTTTATATGAACGAGATCACTCCATATTCAAATATTGGCTACAAATTAATCCCGTCATGTAGCTGAAGTGAACAATCCTCCGTCAAGTTCAGACTCAGACTCTTGAATCTCTCCATGGAATACTGCATAGATGCTTATATCCAGTCAGTTCCAGTTTTCATTATGGCCACAAACTCTTCATAACTAGGATTCTTGGAAGATTGCAAGCTGTTAAACCAACAAAATTTAAATTAAAGAGGAAAATATTAGGTTTATCAGGCACCAAATTTGGATGTGCTTTGTGAAAAACCAAGTCGCAAAACTTCAATTTAGATAAAAAGACAGAGAACGGGAATTTCACTGTGCATTGTAAAAAGTTCACGATATGGAATTCCAGATCAAAACTGAAAAAGCAGAGACCATTGCAAGAAATGTAGAACAACAAGAAATTTAAAGGTGAAATAGAGTTTATCTGATTCACTCGCCTTGTGGAATAAGCAAGTAAGTGAGTGGAATGAGGCCCCCGGGCTACAACGCGATTGGAAACTCTAGCTCCGATGACGGCGAACTTGACGATCAATTAGTCATGGTGGCTATGGAGGGGGATCAAAGGGAGGGAGGAGAAAGAGGGATAACGGACGTCTCTGCAGCTGTTAGCGAAGGATGAGATTGCTCTATTTTTAATTCATTAGGGTTAAGATTACACTCTAAAATAGTTTATGACAATTGGTGCACCTCAAAAAATATTCCCCGGTGTTATGTACACTTTTACCTTTAAAAAAGAAGAAGACTAAGGTGCAAATTTTATAATAAAGTTTTCATAAATATACACTTGGTATCATAATACTACCTTCAGTCTTTAATATAAGATCTTGTTTAATTTTTATTGTGGTTCTAAATATAAAAACCTAATTTGTCTTTCATATTTATGCTTTTTTTTTCAAAGTAGTTTTTTAACAATAATAGTTCTGACCAATATACTTGATTAGTAAGAATATTTTAGGAAAGATAACACTTATTTATTAAAAATAACTAACTTAATTTTTTTAATTTCTTCAAATTAGTTAATTAGTTTTTATAATTAGGACTAGAGGTAGTATATACTAGTAAAAATATGCATAAGCTGTTCTAAACGGAGCAAATAACAACTTCTGCCAAGTCCAAACTACCATCATCGTTTAATTTGTGGGTTCCATTTAGTGCCATGTGTCAAAGTATGTTCTCTGCCTCTCATCTTCTTTCAACTAGGTCAACTTTCTCCCCCTCTCACCCTTCCTCTCTCTCTCATGCCACCGGAAATCTGTTTCTTGATTGTTGTAATGAGGAGTGATTCATTGGAATCTTCATCAGATAGGCAGACATGGAATTTGATTTCATCATTAGACTAGATAAGTATTGGTGGCAACACCTAAATTCTCCAAGACAAAACGGAACTTCCAATTCTTCTAGTACTATACAAATCCTGTTGATAGCAATACTCGCAAAAACTAGTTTTATTCGAGTCGCATATTATCAATACTGTCCTTAAGAGCTATTTTGCAACTATCAACAAAGCAAGACACGACACTTCCAATTATTAAACGGATACTTTCTATACAAGTAGAGAGAATAGAATAGCAAAAAAAAAAAAAAACCTCAGCAAGGTTAAAAACTAGAGGAGGGAAGAGGGAGTTGTTGGAAAGCTCGGAGCTAAGCGCTGTAAACTTCAATCTCATGCCTTTCATATAGGACATGGATAACAAGAAAGCATTAGGCATTTAAGCATAATTAAATATCGGTTTTAAAGTTATTATCTTCCTTAATGAGGATTTAAGATTATTAAAGTTGTCAGTTACAAACGTTAAATAAGCATAATGTTAATTAAATGATATATTAATTAGATAGATATTTTTATAAAGGTCACCCATACAAAAAGTGAAAGGAAATTACCAAATTTGTCTCTGAACCCTATAATCCCTAATAATGTGGAACTTTTAATACTCAAACCCCATAAGTCTAAGTAATGTGGAATTTTTCTTTTGACACACCAACGCACAATATTTACACTAGTAAGTTTGTCTAACTATGAACCATATTTATTTGTCTTCTTGAAATAA